GAGGGGAGAGTCAGAAGTGGGGGGACAAAGGGTGCAGGAGGGGTGACTGAAGTGCGGGACATGGGGTGCCGGAGGGGAGATTCAGAAGTGGCGGGGCAAGGGGGGGGGGGGGGGGGGGAGCGAGGGAGCCCCGGAGGAGGTGGCTGCGGACTGGGGCTCCATTTAGGAAGGATGCCTGTCCCCCTTTCCTGGGAACAACAGCCTTAGCGCCTGGAGGTTTTTCCCCAGCCGGCCCACAGAAAGTAGACCCCAGGAGGGACTTCCTGCCTTCTAAGGGGTGGGCACGGCAGGTCCCGCCCAGGGGTGGCCCAGGCCGGGCTTCCGGAGGCATGGCACGGGGACAGGGAGAACCGGGCAGCCCTCACAAGACCTGGAGGGCTGCCCCTGGGGCATCTGCCTGCCCGGGGTGGGGGGGGGGGCTCCTGCAAGTTTCCCCCAGGAGCCGGGGCCTGGAGGCTGGACGGTGGCGTAGCTGGGGCCAGTGGAGCAGACGGCGCCACCTGGTGGCTGTGTGCCAGCCAGAACCCTCACCACCACGGGGACAGGGCAGTCCTGAGGGACCCCGCACCTCCCCAGGCTTCAGGACCCCCCCATTGCTTGTGGCTGGTGTGCCTAGGGTTCCAGGGTCCTCTCGGGTCAGCTCCCAGACACCCCCTGTGCTTCTGGGGCTCAACCTTCACCAGGCTGGCCTGGGAATCCCGCCAAGCCAGCAGCACCAAATTCCCGTGACTCGATGCCCACCGCACCCCAGCCAAGCCAAGAACAGGACACTAACCGAGCAGGGGTGTGGGGAGAGGCACACACATGCCCACACATGTATACACACACACATGCAGAGGCATGCACATGCAGCCACACGCAGGTACAGGTGTGCACACGTGCATGCACGCACAGATGGAAATTCTGTGAAGGCAAATGACAACTGACCCCCACATTCTCAACCTTAAGAATCTCGATTGAAGCTATTTTAATTCCAGAGCACACCTAGACTGACATTTCAACAAATGGAGATGGGCTTTCAATCCCACAAGGGCAGCCGGGCCTCTCTGCCCTGACCGCTGGGCTGCTCCAGGGACCCCTGCGGACCGTCAGTTCTCAGGCCAGCCCACGCCACCAGCCGCCACCAGGGGCGCTCTACCAGCTGACCTGGGAGTGTCCTTGGGAGGAGGGTGGGCAGTGGCCAGAGGGGCGGCCGAGACACCTGTGAGTCCCCTGAGTGCACCCCACCACACCACAGGTGCCTCGCCTGGTGGCTCCCCAGCCAGAACCCGCTCCGTAATTTGTGGGGCCCAGGCAGCCTCTAGTTCCAAATGGTTAGAACTTCAAGTGGGCTGCAGCAGGCAGTAGAGCAAGCCAGGCCCTCCTTCTGAGCCGGGGCCGGTGCACAGGCTGCCTTGACGTCCCTTCCTTGCGTGTGTGGACCCCCCCACCCCCCGGCCTGGCCTCTGCCCCGCTGCGAGCCTCAGATGGCTTATCCTCTGAAGACCTCACGGGGACAAGACACGAGCGTTTGCGGGGGAAGGGGAGGCCGAGCTGGGGCCTGGGCACCCCGCTTTGAGCTGTGGCCCCTCCTGCAAACAGGTTGGCTTGGTGCTGGCAGTGGGGCATTTATGCCGTGTGCATGGCGGGTGGGGTGGGGTCTCTGTGGCATGCGGGTGGGCAGGGAGCGCAGGGGGGCAGGGATCGGGCTCCGGTGCTTGGTTATTCCTGGAGTGGGGCCCGGGCTTGGTCCTTGTGACCTGGCTGCCAGCGCTCCTGGGAGGAAGGGCAGCGGGGGGAGGCTGAGCCACAGAGACTAGCCGTGGGCCCGGGGTCCCAGCGTGCAGGCTGAGCGGGTCTTTGCCGGGAGCGCTCTTCCAGGGACCCCAGGGCGCAGCCAAGCCGGGCCCACCCTCCTTCCCACCCCGAGCAAGCAGGCGGAGCTCTGAAGGGCTGCAGGGCAGGTAGTAGGCAGGAATGTTCTGGCCTCTCCCAGCTACACCCGCCCCTGCCTGCCCCCACCTCACCATCCTCCCCAGGCGGCGCCAGGAATGCACCTTCAGCCCGGACTTGCTTGCACGGAGTTCCCGCAGGCAGCCGACCCCCACTCCTCAACCCTCTTGTCCCCCATGGCACTAGCAGAGCCCCTACCCCTCAGGGCCTCCATCCCCAGGCTCCCCGTTGCTCCAGGGCTGGGGCCCCACCTGTAAACACTCCCCACCTATGTCGGTGGCAAACCATGGTGGGCCCGAGGTCGGGGTGGGGGCGGCCGGGATGGGACCCCGGCGGCGACCCGCAGGAGGGCCCGGGGCCCAGAGGTCAGGTGGC